ATCGGGGCCGTGGAGGAGGGAGATGCGTTATGACACACCTGAGAAATGATGGAGGCGACAACGTTGAGCGTTTCCTGTACAGAAAGGACATAGAGAGGATCATCGCTCTTTAGGTGCCCTCCTCCTCCTCCTCCTCCTCCTCCTCCTCCCCCCACCCCCCCCTCCACGCTCCGCGCGAGTCTCAAAGCTCCTTCAATGCGCTGAGCTCGAGCAAGAGCTTCGGATGAGATGGTCTTGAGAGTGACGGCAGATAGGAGGAGAAGGAAGATGTCGTCATTGCACAGGCAGGCTGACATCTTGAACAGCCCGAGCGCTTTTCCAGTCTTCCACGAGTTTGACTCACTCGCCTTGTCCGTGACAGTCGCGACATCTCCCAGCTTGTCTTTCATCTTCACCAGATCTTCTTCATCGCAGATCTCTACAAAACTTCTTTTGATGGCTCCGATGGCTTTCTGCTTGCATGCCTCCGCAAGCTCTTTCCTGACTTCGTCTTCAACTTCACTTGTCTGCACAAATCTGTCCAGCTCCAGGGCTAGAGAGACAGCCTCTTCTAACTTGGAAGGGTTCCCGTTGAGAGAGATGTAAAAGTTCTCAAGAGTTGATTGGAACTCGTCCTTCTCCTCCTCCTTCTCCTTCTCCCTCTCTTCCTCCTTCTCCTCTGCGACATCGTCGACGCCATCGCCTCTTCGCTGCTCGTTTCCTTGACTTTCCTCCACTGCTCCTTGCTCGTCCCGATTCGATTGTTGGCTTCCAGCCGGACTCGCCACATCTTCTGCTCGCACAAACGTCAGGTCTCCTCCTGATATCGTCTTCCATTTCTCCACTGCTCGGCCAGCAAACTTCTTCACGTCCTTGAGGATCGAACGTCGACTGACCGCGAGACCGACCTGCTGCTGCATATCATTGAGACTGCCCTGCTCCATCGCCCTCTGCGCTCGCTGCGAGGGTTGAAGGAGCAGCGACATCTCTCTCTTGATCTCACGAGCTCGCTCGTAGCTCTCCTCCGTCATTGCCTCGTGCAGCTCCTGCTCCAGCTGCATGAGGTAGCCTCCCCCCGACGACGCTGCCGAGAAAGTCAGCTCCGACGAGTCCGAGAGCCCGAGAATCTTCTCGAGCGCCTTGGAGTCTTTCAGGAACTTCATCGTCATGAGCATCTTGCTCGCCCTCCTGCTCGACCTGCAGAGTGAACGTCTCAGCATAGCATGGCCCTCTCCCCTGTCCATCTCAACAACACCCTCCTGCTCCATCTCCCTCACTCTACTTTCCCTGCCTGCCCTCCTCCTCCTCCTCCTCCTCCTCCTCCTCCTTTCCATCAACTCCAACATCCTTCCTGGCTCTCCTCCCCTTCCCTGTCTCTCCTGTCCCTGCCCCTCTGCTTCTTCCTCCTCCCCTATAGTGCATGTTTCTCGAAGAATTTGTCGGGGAACAGGGGAGTGAGGGGGATGATTTTCGTGACAGGGACATCGAAAATGCAGACAAGCCGGCTTGCGGTGGTTGCGATGCTCATACAGCATGCTGCGGGACTTGTAGCGCCCTCATCCCTTCCTCCTCGTCTTACCCTCCTCTCTCCCCTTCCGTCCTCGGCCTCTTCTCGTCTCTCCTCCTCGCCCGTTCGACCAGCAGCAGTGGCAATGTTGCGGGCAAGGAGGTTGACTGCTGCAGAGGAAGCCGAAGTTTCTCAAGTCCGAGCGAGGCTGGTGGAGGTCTTCAAGAAGTATGACAAGAACAGAGACGGGTGAGACTGGAGGGAGGACGAGGACGAGGGGATGATGTGGAGGAGGGGGAGGGGGAGGGGGAGGGGGGGGAGGAGGGCGAGGGTGAGACTAAACTCAGGCACTTGACACGAGACGAGTACAACCAGTGGTGCATGGACACGAAACGAGGAGCGAGGATGATCACTAGTGATATTCGATATCTTGCGTTCTGCAAGGTCATGTACCACACTCAAGATTGCACGATGACGGCTGATACTGTTCTCTCAACAGACCATCAACTCCGACCCCTCCGTCGGCCTCTCCCTAGAGGGATTGGTCGGGCTGTATGCTCAGAAAGACCAGCAGGGAGACACCAGCCCTCTGCTGCGAGGGAACCTCCTCCTCCTCGCCTCCTCCTTGATCACATGCGTACTTACACTTCTTGCTCCATATATCTTGCCTGACGCACTTGGCAGCTTCTCCTCTCGGTCCCGTACTACCTCCCGAGCTGCACAGAGTAAGAGGAAGTGTCTCCAGAGGTTTCCTCACCACCTCTTGTAGGTACTGCAGGAAACTTCCGTTCTGAGCTCAAGGCCGGAGGTGAGGAGGAAGGCTGTCTGCTGAAGGATACGAGTTCTGCGTGCCTTTCGATTGCACTGAGAAAGCAAACTGAGAGGCTCGGCCTTGCTTGCCCTCTCTTCACCTGTGATGGTTGCGATCTCTCCCGCCGCTTCCATGGCCTGAGAAGCACGTGAGCCAAGAGCTCCTTGCCAGAGGCCGAGGGAACCTGCTCCATGCTCTTCCCCGCTGCCACGTGGCTCGCCAGGGCTCCGAGATACGCGTCACCCGCTCCAGACGTGTCGACCACTTGCACCCGCTGCTGCCCAGCCGGCACACGATGAACTTTCACTTCCCTCCTGCTCCGCTTGTCAATCGCTCTGAGAGCCGTCAAAAGGCACAAACGTGTCTCCATCACCCGGTCGCACCAAGCAGCTTCCCCGCTCCCCGAGGGTGAAGAGGATTTGACTCGCTCCCAGCTCCATCCTACCCCATGAAGTGAGCGAGAGGTGGCGGGGAGGAGGAGAGCAAACAATGTCAGCGATGCTCTCTTGATGGAATCCATCAGAGAAGACTCGTCTTCGCCCTCCACCTGCAACTTGGACATCTCCCTCGCCTCTGACTCGTTGACCTGGCCGACATGGTTTAGCAAGAGCGTCGCGCACGTGCGGCATGTGAGGTTACGCAGAGGACGTCGCACATGGAGAGCATCTCCTTGAAGTCCCGCCACTCGCCCTCCCTCCAGTTGGTCCCAACTCTAGGAGCAGGAGCAGCGTTGAGGATGACGAGGGGAGGGCTCTTGGACCCTCGAGCTATTCTCATGGCAGTATACGTCGTCGCTGGGGATATCTCATTCTGACAGAGAAGAACTTTACAGCTCGATATCGCCTGCTCAACCAGCGAGCGAAGAAAACCATCAGCACCATCTCTCTGCCCGCTACTCCTCACCTCAGCCGCCCGCTCCACATCCTCCGGCTCAAGGCAAAGGTTGGCGCCGGGCACGATGACGATGCAGTTCTCCCCGCTCTTGGAGCTCACGGTGATCTGAGCGACACCAGAAGAGACTCCTTCTTTCACGTACATGTGGTCGAGACTCACGTTGCTCCTCCTCAGATTCTCTCGGGTCATGCTCGCAATCGCATCGTCCCCTAGCGCTGAGATCATCGTCGCGCTGCTCCCCAGCTTGGCCGCCATGACGCATTGATTCGCTCCTTTCCCTTCCCACATCCCACGTCAGTCAACTCAAGTCCCACAAGTGCAACAGAGGGCTACCTCCGAACCCGGTCACGTAGGAGGAGCCATGGACGGTCTGACCTGGTGCTGGGATATCCTGCACGTAGACGGTCTGGAGGAGGAAGACAGTGAGAGGAAGCAGAAGCTTCTGCACCCCCACAAGAGTGTGCAAGACAGAATGAGAGCGAGTGAGCTCTCATTCACTGCCCCTCGCCTTCTCCTCCTCTCTCCCTCACCTGATCAAAGTTGCATGACCCCACCACACACACCCCCGCCATGATCCGCCTGCCTGCGGTAGTAGGGACTGAGAGCTGAGGCGGGCTGGGATTATGTCAAACTGACAAGATGGTAGCAAACTGAGCTTGGGAAGGAAAGCTCCTCCTCCTCCTCCTCCTCCTCCTCCTCCTCCTCCTCCTCCTTCCCATCTTGCTCCTTCTCCCTCTCCTCACCCTCTTGACCCTATGGCTCCTGCTGCTTCAAATCTCCTCTAAGCCTCTTCCTCGTCCTCTTCCTCTTCCTTCAAGCCTTGTGCTCCTGCAGCAGATCTCTTTGAATGGTCTCTCGGTCTTCAGATTATTCGACATGGTGACTTTCATATGATACAAGGATCACAACCTGATGACTAGAAGTCACTTCCCGCTCTCCCCTCTCCGGGCCTCACTCGGTCTTCTCCTCCTCGTGTCCCTTGCACGAGGTCTAGACATACAGGTTGGCTCTCAGAACACCGATGACGCCTCACTAGCTCCTGGGACCTCCCAGTACTCTTCCTTCAACTGCTCATTCGCATCGACTTGCTACTTCAGCTCTGCCGCAGTCGCTGCTCTGCTATCCATCCCGCAGGACGTGCAGTTCCAAGTCGACGGGAGCATTTTGATCACTCAGAATCTGTCATGGAGCACTTCAGCTCAGCTGCAACTGACGGCTTCCTCCATCGTCATCAGCGACGTGCTCTCAGGACGAGGCACGCTGCTGATGCAGACACAGGATGTGCAGCTGACTGGCACAGGATTTCTTGCGTTCAGCGGGGCGAAGGTTCAGATTCAGTACCCGATCACCACCGACTATTTGTGTGTATCTCAAGTCAACAACCCAGCCTGTCTCCTCAACTTGCAGAAGTCGATCTTCGAGCTGGTGGAGGCAACAACCTTCACCGTGTACAGCATGGGCTCGGCGAACTCGCAGCTGTACATAGGGAACATGAACTTCTCTGGGGTGAGACTGAAGATCAGCACCATAGAGATGAAATCAGACTTCAAGCTGCAAGCCCTCGACGTCTTTGACCTCCCCACCAACTTGACGTTGACCGCCGCCCAGACCCTGACGATGCAGCAGAGCCTTCGCTGCTCAGGGGACTTGCTCCTGGGGCCGGGGGTAGACTCGACGTTCAACGGGGAGGTGAGAAGGGAGTTTGTGCTCGTCGCTGCTGCTGATGTCTTGCTCAGTTCATGGAGGCGAAGACTCTTACGATCGCGACAGCCGTGACGTTGGTCGTCCCTTCCCTCACAGCACGCTTCTCTGTCTCCGGCCTCTTCCAGCTCAGCTCCGCCATGACAGGCGCAGGTCACGAGGTCAACATAGCAGCAGCTGACATGCAGGTCGGCGCCGGCATCACGTGCTCACAGATATCAGTGAAAAAGGATGACGGAGGAAGGATTCGTCTGGGGCTGCTCGGCTCCTACGCTGGCGACCTTCTCCTCTCCAACAGCGAGCTCAGCCTTTTGAACTGCAACCTCTTGGTGTTGCAGGGTAAGGCCTCACTCCTCCTCCTCCTCCTCCTCCTCCTCCTCCTCCTCCTCCTCATCATCATCATCATCTCCATCATCATCATCATCATCATCTCCATCATCATCATCATCATCATCATCATCATCATCATCATCATCATCATCATCATCATCATCTCCATCATCATCATCATCATCATCATCATCATCATCATCATCATCATCATCATCATCATCAGCATCATCATCATCATCATCATCATCATCATCATCATCATCATCATCATCATCAGCATCATCATCCTAATGGCCCTTGGCTCCTTTTGCTGTTCCTTCTGCTTTCTGTCTTCGCTTCCTCACGTCGTTGTGGATCTCCTGCTCTCTGCTACTCCACCTCTTGATCGACTCGTGTCTTCCAGGTCAGCACGGAGGGATCTTGGTGCAAGGAACGTCGAGCTCAGCATTCGCCAACATACTCACTGCTCTGCTCATCGCCAACGGGCAGGGTGGAGGAAGAGACATCCGAGTGTACGGGCCTCAGTCAAGCTCCTTCCTCTCCTTGACACTCGTGTCCACGGGCACCATCGCATTCTATGCCGGTACGCGAGAAGTAGACAGATGTAGAGACAGGCATAATGAGGTCATCGTCGTCGTCGTCGATGGTGATGGTGATGATGATGATGATGATGATGATGATGATGATGATGATGATGATGATGTGATTGTCAAGCAGGAAGACAAAGGCACAGGAGGAAGAGGAAAATCAAAAGGAGAAGGCTGAATTGACAATGTATGATTCATGCTGCTTGCCAGATGTCAGGGTTAACTACAACGCCGCCTACTCTTCTTCCCCTCTGTTGTCTTTCTGCGATCTCTTCGCACCTGCTGATCGTCTGCTCTAGTCTGAACATCACAAGCTCGGGCTATGTGTACCTCGCCAGCACCATCTCATCGCAGAAGAAAGTTGAAATCGTCTGCTCGGGTTCAGGTCGCCTTGTCCTCGCAGCTCAGCCTCTTCATCCTCGTGCAGGGATCTTCTGCTACTATGACGCCTCCATCACCGCTGACGAGGTTCTTCACCTGGCTGCCGACCTGACCGTCAAGGTTCCTTGACGCGTCAGCTGGTTGAGATGCTGACGGCGACCAGCGCGAGCAAGTCACCGTCGTCCTCAACGCTGACTCGGACGTGGGCGGCACGGGAAGTTTTCAGCTCGACTCGGGCTACAGCGTCAGGTGAGGAGGGACGAGGAAGGGGCAGGCCATGAGCAGACGCGTGCAGTCTCTACGGGGATACGGCTGGAGGGCTTCAGATCCTGGCGGACCAGGCATGACAAGTCCAGCTGGGGCCGAGCTTGACTTGTGGTCAGGTGTCGATCCTCGGAACAATCACCGCAGGGATGAGCTCGATCTCGATGCGAAGCACGCAGAAGCGGTGAGCTGCTAGGAAGGAGCTCGGGAGACTGAAGGCCTGACAGGATCTGCCTGGGGAATCAACGGGTTGACAACACGGTGTCAAACATCGCCGGCTGTCAGAGTGACGCGTACTTCCTGGAGACTTTGACGCTGGTAAGGAAAGCCCAGCAGCGAGTCGAGCTGAGAATGGCTCGTAGGACCATATCTCCTTCCAGAACGAGATCGCGTTCCTAGCAGCGCAGTCCATCTACGTGGGCGACCTCAACAGAAGCTCAGCTGGGGCTTCCTTCCGCTTCGAGAGTGACAGTCTCATTGAGTTCAACTCAGATCAAGTAGTTCTACCGCAAGACTTGACGGGTAGTCCTCTGCCTTCCCCTCCTTGCTTTCCCCTTCTCCCCTTCTTTCTCTTCTCTTCTTCTCTCAGAGACGCAAGGAAGTTCGCTCCTTCGCTTAAGACTTTCGTCGTTTCGTCGACTGACTTCTGCTCTCTCTCCTAAATCTCTGCAGCTCTGGCGGCCGGAGGAATCTCTTTCCTTGTTCCTGTGGTCTCGGCAGGTGACATCCTTGTGGATGCCGACAACAACAACGATGGAGTGGGCGAGCTTGTAGTGCAGGTGAGGAGGAGAGGGATGAGGAGGAGAGGGAGGAGGAGGAGAGGAAGGAGGAGGAGGGGGGAGGAGGACGAGAGGGAGGAGGACGAGAGGGAGGAGGACGAGAGGGAGGAGGACGAGAGGGAGGAGGAGGAGACGAGTTCTATCTGGTTTTATCTAAGAGGACAATAGGCTTTGCTTCAAGCAGGAGGAGCCGCCAGCCTGACAGCCGCGAGCTTCTCAGTGGACCCTCCAGCTTTTTTCTCAGCTCGTGACATCACGATTACTCCCAAGGTGATGCGAAGCTCTCGAACTGCAAGCTGACATGTACTAGGCGTACGCGTCAACAGCCGTCAGGTTGGGGGCAGGAGGAGGAGGACTCAACTTCTCCTCCAGCTTCCTTGCGAGCATCTCCTGCCCCGGCAACCTGACCATCGGAGGGGAGACGGCGGCTGGGGAGATGGTGGTGGAGGTGCAGGAGGAGGGAGGGAAGGGCGCACCAGAGCTCACGTCCCCCGCAGAACGTCAGCCTCACGCGCGTTGGATCGCTAGTGCTCAACGTGCAGCAACCAGGAGGTGGCGGCATGCTCTACCTCTCCGGCCCTCTCTCGCTGTCTGCTCGCCTCTTCCTCTCCGCTGGAGCTCTCATTCGCTGCTCCCCCTCCCTCCTCCTCCTCCTCATGCACGCAGATGCGCTCCTCGTCAGCGCGAGCGTCCAGCTGTCTGGGACGTGGTCTGCTCCTGAGAGTCGAGTGGAAGTGGTGGCAGAGGCAGAGGAAGTGACTGCAGAGGAGAGCAGCATGGAGTGCAAGAGCATTAAGCTCACGGCCCCTCGCAGGATCTCTGTGCTGACGAGCTCACTCACTGTCGAGGAGGAGGCGGTAGGGGTCAGCTCCTCGGGTTTCATAGCGGTGCAAGGAAACATCACCGTGACAGCAGGGGACATTCGCTTCAACTCCTCCGATTTTCACCTCGACGGCTCCCTCGCAACGCCAGCAGGAAGCATCTTCTTTAACGCGGGAGGAAGGGAAGTGCAGATGGGAATGGACTCGGTCGATGGCGCGGGAGGCTGGTGGACCAATCAAAGTTTCTCGCTTTCACTGCTTGAGCTCGCGAGCATGCGGTGCAGCATCGAGCTCCGCGTCTCTACCTCTTCTCATATGCTCGTCGGTTCCCTCCCCAGCAGCCAGGTCACCTCACCTCCTCCTCCTCCTCAGTGACTGGTTTCTAGATTTGCTCGCAGCTCTCTCTCTTTGCTGAGCTTCTCAACGTGACTCGCAGCCTCGACTGGTCCAGCTCGCTTCTCCTCTCCCCTCAGAGTCTCCTTGTCATCCTCGGCAACGTCTCTCTCCTCACCGGCGGGTCTCTCCTGCTCACAGCTTCTTCCATCCGAGTGGGGCAGGAGGTAGACATCCACGCACAGGGAAGCATGTACATCTCCTGCAGCACGACCAGCCTCCTCCTGCCAAACGTCTCGTTCGCCTCCGAAGGCGACCTTCTCCTCAACTGCTCGCTCGCACAGCAGGGCAAGGGGCTCTCCTTCCTCGCAGGCATCAACCGGACCCTTCAGCTCGAGCCATCCCGCGTCCTCTCGACCGCCGAGCAAGAGTCCGGCGAGGCCCTGCTCATCCGCGCCGATCGCTTCCTCCTGCGCGGAGACATCCGAGCCAACCAGGTGCGGCCACGGCGGGAGGGGGAGGACTGACGGCCTGATGCAGGGGGACGTGCTCTTCACGAGCAGGAGCGACCAGTTTGACAGCAGCTGCACTCGCATCGCCAACTCGTTCCTCGACTCCTTCCTCGGTCGCGAGCATCTCCTCGCCTCCTCCAGCGGCCGCGTTTGGGTCGAGCCGTCGCGTCCTCTCCTCCAGGAGTGGCGCCCTCAAGTGCTCGACCCGCGAGGAGGAAGCGTGCTCACCCTCGTTGGCCGCTACTTCGGGGAGCCTCTGGCGGCGCTCAAGGTGACGGTCGGAGGTCGCGGATGCCCGCAGCAGGACCTGGACGTGGCGTCGTCGGTGACCTTCAGCTGGTTCCTCAACACCTCCAGCAGGGTCCCGCGAGTCTTCACTTCCTTCCTCCTCACCTGTCGGGCGCCTGCTGGGACAGGAGCAGGACTCGAGCTCGTCGCCTTCGCCTTCTGCATGCCTTCGCGTCATATCCGCAGCTTGCGGTATCAGCCTCCCCTCCTCCTGGCTGCCTGCGAAGCTCCTGCCGCCTCCTGCCCTCCACCTTCCGCTGTCAGTCTCCGGGCGAGGACCAGCCGTGCCCTCCAGCTGCTCGGCGAGAACTTCGGGGTGACGCCGAGTAACATTCGCGTGCTCCTGCAGCCTCTCGCTCCTTCCGGTGCCCTCGCAGCTCCTCGCGCTGGCTCAGAGGTACGATGGATCTCCGACAGTTCCGTCAGCTCGTCGCTTCCCCCTCTCCTCCACGACGACGCTGTCCTTCTCTCCGTCGATGTGAACGGGCAGGTCGCCCACCTCCTCGAGCCCGTCAAGGTGGTCGGGGCCGCCAGGTACCCATGGGACTGCGAAGGCACGCGGACATGCGGGGGAAAGGGGAAGGAGGGAATCTGCCAGGCAGCTGCATGCCTGACGTGCTGCGAGAGGAGCTGCCAGTCTCAGTGGATCGCGGACGTGGCAGCGAGGGAGGAGGGCTTGAGGGTAGACGACGTCATGCCCGACCCGACGGCTGTATGCTCGCGACTTTGCTGGACCTACTGTGAGGACATGACCTGATCAACTCATGCTCTCACTGCCGTCCAACTTCATGAGCATCCCATCCAAGCGAGCATGCAGCCGAGTGTGTTTCTTTCCCAGCACTCGTACCTTGCCATCCTTGCACGCGAGAGTAAGCGATCGCTTCCTTTCTTCGATCACAGTTCCCTCCACCCCGACCAGCGAAGGTTCCCCCGCCTCCACCACCATGATGTCGGCTCCTATCCAATCCATCCTGCCTGCGTCACTGTAGCTGAGCATCTTCTTCCCTCTACTCTTTCCTTCTCTCAGACGCGTCAGTGTCTCTTCCTTCCACCACCTCCTGGTCGCCTCCAGCCCTTCTCCTACGTCAGCCTCTTGCGACCTGCCTCGCTTGAGACCTCGTGACTTGCGGGGCCTCTGCTCCTCCTGCAGTCGCTTTCTCTGCTTCTCGCGCTGCTTTCGTCCTCGTCTCATCAGGGACTCCACAGGGGCCTCTAGCAGAAGTACTTTCCCGCATACCTTCCCTTCATAGACTCCCTTGCCAAACTCACCCACACGCCTCTTGAGAAGCTGTTCAAGGTCTTGCTGATACGCCTCGTCTCTTGTCCCTGCAGCTGAGCCTTGTCCTTGTCCTTGTCCTCCTCCTGTTCGCTCCGCAAGCTTCTGGTACACGCTCGCCATGCGCTTCTTGCTTCTCCTTTTGGTTCTCTTCAAAAGTCTCCGACGAGGAGGGGATGAGGGGTGAAAGGACGGGTAGGGGTAGACCTCAGATGTGTGGGATACAGGTGGTAGGGGTAGGGGTAGGGGTAGGGGGTAAGGGGAGGGAAGTAGCTAATCAAGGCACGTGCGGTGGAAACGGAGCAGAGAAAGAGGGGGGAACAACTGAGATGTCTTGACTCAGAACCTGAGAGGTCTTGATGGCCTCCAGTCGAGTAACAAGATGTTCAACCATGATGTGAGTTGCTCTTCATTCCTGTCTCTTGCCTTTCCCTCTCCTTGCCTGGCCGGTGATTAATGCAATTTTGGTAATTTGCGTCCGATGCGTGCTGAAGACACTACTGCTGCCTTCCTACTGAGGCCTCTCACTACCCCCATCCTTCAGCACTTCGTCTGACTGCCCATTCTCTGACACTTCTGCGCAGATAAGGCGATAGTGTATGGTGGTGATGTAGCATAATGAGATTTATTTGTACATAATAACGGAAGGTTATCCCAACTTCTTGCAGTTGAATCGAGTCAGAGGTCTGTTATAGAGTAAACACTTGCGAGCTCGCAGCTTCTTGCGTCACCCCCGATCGAATCTCCTGCTCGCACCATTCACTCGCCTCGCCTTCCTAACTCGTCTACGCACCTTGCGTATCCTCGCGAGCTTGCGTGATCCCGACGTCCTCTCCACGAACCCTCCGCTGCTGCTTTCTCGTTGTGCGCGGATCGCCAACCTACCGCACCAGTCACCTTTCCCTCTTCACCACAAGGCCTCTCCTTACTTGGCTGAGTTCCAGTCCCCCGATGGCAGTGAGTCCCAGCGCAGGCTACCAACACTGCTTCTCGCCGAGCTGTGGGTCTCGGTCACCTCCTGCTCTTCTGTCCTGCTTCCCCTGCTTCCACTCCGAGACTCCGCGGCGTCTACGCCCTCCACCCTGCTGACTCGCGAGGGGCTCCCAGCGAGGGGAGGGAAGGAGCGCAGGTGTGGCGGAGGCAGCGCTTGGATGTTGTGCTGCATGAGCTTGTTCCTGTACCAGAGAATCTGCAGCGACATGAAGAGAGGGGGGTGGGGACAAGACGTCTTACCGTTCGCTCCTGCTGAGCCACCGTTGACTTGAGGCCCTCGATCTCCCGCTCTTTCATGACGATGTCAGCCTGGTGGGAAGTAAGCTGAGCAGCAGGTGAGGGGGAAGGACCTGTCGCTCGCTGAGAACCTGATCCCTCTTGTTGATGGACTTTTGCAACATGTCGACCTGATGACTCACGCTCGCCTTCAACAACATCATCACAACCGGACGAGACACAGCGATGAGGACGAGCAAACGGAGCTTCGAGTTCACCTGAGCCAACATGGAGGAGGAGGAGGAGGAGGAAGCTCTCGTCAAGCCTTCTGCTCTTGATGCCTCCCTCTCCTCGTGCTGCCGCAACAGTCGCTGCTGCTCCCGGATGATCTTGGTGCATCGGATCAGCTGCCGCTTGAGGTCTGCGGGGCCCGTGCCATCCATCCTCTTACGAGGGGAGGCAGTAGGCGTGACGCCATGCTCAGACAGCATCCGCCGCAGTCGTTGGTTCTCCTCCTCCAGTTCCACCACCATCTCCTCCTCATGTCGCTCTGTTTGTATGCTCAGACTGTCCACCAGCGAGCCCAGCAGAAGGGCCGTCAGCTCTTCCTGCGAAGGAGCAACTTGAGAGTTCCACAGCAGCTCGTGCAGGCTGGCGACTTCGCTTCTCTTCTCCCGCAGCTCCTGCACTAGCCGCCTATTCTCCTCCTGCACCTCTTGCAACTCGTCGACAACCTGCGGCCCTCGGCGACCAGCAGGCTGCTGCTCCTGCTGCTGCTGCTGCTGCTGCTGCCACTCGTCCTTTCTCGCGTCCTCCTGTCTGCTCGCGCTACTTGCATGGTTAAGCTGAGGATCCCTTGGCAGCACCAGGCCCTCGATGCGATGTGGAAGGTAATCCAAGGAGCTGGAGATGGACAGGCCCTCGAACACCCGCACGAAGTCTTGCTTGCTCTGATGTGTCAGCATTCCTCTCCCTCTCCCGCTTCCTCTCCCTTACCCTCTTCCTCTTCCTCTCCCCACCATCTCTTCTTTTCCTCCGCCTCGCCAACCCGCCCCGTCAGTTAGGCCCAGAGCGAGAAAAATGCTGTCGGGGGACCAGGGTGGGGGGAATGGATGAGGCGAAGAGAGATGGGAGAGGAGAGGAGGGGAGGGGAGGGGAGAGGAGAGAAGAGGAGAGGAGAGGAGAGGAGAGGAGAGGAGAGAAGAGAAGAGGAAAGAAGATGAGGGAAGGGGAGAGGAGGGAAGGGGAGGGGGGAGAGGAGATGGGAAACGGTTCAAAGCAAACCACTGAGAAGTGTGAGTAGTTTCAACACAGACGAGACAAAGCCAGCAGAAGCCTCCAATGATGTCTTGACGTCTGATCCCTCGCAGAGCAAACCTGAGGATACATCAGCGTCCGCCTCCTCTGCTTCCTCTGTCTTGCCTATAGGAGGAGATGTTGCAACGCGAAGAGATGGAAAGAGAGAATTGATAAGAAGATGGAGGACAAGGAGGGAGGGAGGGAGAGAGAGGGCGATGGGGCGGAGAAAGTGGGGGAGGAGGGGGGGGAGGAGGATGAAGCAGGGGGAGAGGTCGAGAGAAGGTCTGAAGAGACAGGAGACGACGAAGGAGATGAGGCTGGAGCTCCTGCTGAGGTGAGAGCGAGATGAGAAGTCAACGATGACGGTAGGGCAGGTCCAGCTGAGCAAGGAGGAGCTGCAACAAGGAGCTGCTTCTCTCCTGCTGCAGCGTTGTTATCGCGGTCATCTCCTCCGCCGTCGCTTCTTGTTCCTCCCTCTATGGGTCAAGTCTCCCGAGCTCATCGGAGGCTTCACGTGGGGCCTGCAGCTGCGTCGCTTCCGCAAGCGCGTGGAGGAGCTCCAAGCGAGAGAAGACTACAAGGACAAGATGTTCCTGCTGGGGCAGGTGCTGGAGAAGGGAAGCAGCGCTCTCCCGCGCCGTCTGCAAGTTATTCGAGGAGGCGATGTGGTACGGGAGAGCGCGCGAGGAAGCGCTATGCATGATCTCATGGTGTTCTGCTTGGAGCTGGCGTCTTCGTACCATGAGGACGGGCTGCTGCTTCAAGCTCAGTTCCTCTACGAGGCCGTCGTGAAGGTGTGTGGGGACGCGACGGCGCAGGGAGGGAGGAGGATGCGAGGAGCACGACACATGGAGCTGATGGCAGTCGACCAGCTGTCACACATTCACCTCAAACGCGGAGACGTGGAAGGAGCGCTGAGGATGAACGAGATGGGGGTAAGGAGACTGAGAAAGGAGCATGGGAGGCTTCCTTGGGTCCTCCTGCAGCTCCACAGAGCCGTGATCCTCTCGACCATGAGCGAGCACGAGGAGGCGAAGGCCATCATAGACGCGGCGCTTCGCTGCATGGATGAGGTGAGGCATGACATGCTGGGGTCGGAGCAGATGCTGGAGGTAGAGCCTGTCTTGCATCACTTCCTCCTCCTCGCGCTTCACAACCTCGCTGTCGAGAACTTCTTCTTGCAGGACCACAAGGCCCTCACCACTGCTTGCCAGCATGTCATGAGCATGATCCGCTTCGTCCATGCTGCTCAGCCGGTCTCCCGCTTCCTCGTCTTCGCCTTCGTTGCATCTGCTCGCTCAGCGACGCTCCTGGTCAAGCAGGGAGGAGGAGCTCATCGTGCCGTCATGGCCTCAGACTCCAGGAGCTCTCCAGCTGACTCCAGTCCCTGGACAAGCACTCGGTCACTGATGCAGGAGCTGATCGCGTCGGGCAGCCTCGACGCGATCTGGTTCGAGCTGCCTGACACGTGGAAGGAAGAGATGAGTTTGCCAGCAGATGCTCCAGCTGAGGTCCAGCTGCAGGACAGCAGGAAGATAGTGGAGCTTGTGAAAAGAAGTGACGTGCTGGACGCTTCTCTGATCCTCCTCTTTGTTGCGACCATGCAGCAAGAGATCAGTCAGCTGAGGGAGGGCAGGGGGCAGGCGGAGGACGAGGGGACAGAGGAAGTCTCTCCCCAGTTGACGTGGCAATCTCTTCGAGACATCATCGGAGATCCGCTGCTCTATGCCCCTCACAAGCTTCCTCGGGAGCTGAAGGTCGTGCTGGGCATGAAGATGGCACAGGCCCTCTTTCAGCTGGGGAGGAACGAGGAGGCTGTACGGGAAATGGACCAGCTGAGCCCGGACTGGCTGTACGAGCAGGACGACTCCATCCTGACCAAGGACCGCAAGCGCTTCCTGGTCCCCTTCTACGAGGCTGCTGTTGCTCTCAACTCGGCCGCGTGTCTAGTGCGCCTTGCTGACTTCCAGCAGGCAACCGAAAGAAGCTCTAGAGTCATTGAGTGGCTCTCCAGCGTGAGGTCCAGCAGAGATCGAGCTGGGCTGGGAGACGAGGAGCTTGAAAGCATGCTCGTTGCCGTGAGCTACCTCATGGGTCTCGCCCTCGCCGCACAGGGGCACCTCCTTCAGGCTCTCGACCTCACCCTCCTCGCCCGGCACCACCTGAGCAACTTGCCTCCCGGGACCTGCAGCCGCTGGAGGATGAGGGAGAAGGTCTTGCGCTTGCAGGCGCTGCTCGCAAGTCTCTTGCATGGCAGGGAGCAGCAGCAGGAGGCCGAGGACACGGAGCGACCGGCGAGGGCTGTGAAGACAAGCAGGTTGATACCAAGCTCTCTAGCCCGAGTGTTGCGTGAGAGCACGGGTAGGGACAAGGAGGGGGAGGGGGAGGAGGAGAGACGATACCGATGGACAGGCTGGTGGCAGCGAGAAGATCCGAAGGAAGACAAGAGGGCGGCGAAGAGAAAGCAGCTGATGCTGCCGTACAAGAGCCTCACAAGGGCGCGAGACCGGCGAGACGGGATGAGGACGGCGAGCAAGAGCCACGGAGAAGCAACAGAGAAGAGCAAGACCGGGAGCAGCTTCGCTCTGCCCTTGGCTTCCTCTCCGAGAATGATGGATCGAATCGATCTGAGGACAATCAGGATGCATTCTCGCATGCTCTACGATGAGGTCGTGACGACGAGTGACCTCTGGAGTTTCAAGAGGAAGGTGGGTAGCCTGACGTCTCCTCCTCCTCCCTGATGTGGAAGGTCAACACCCTCACTCACGCTTGCAGGAGTCTCTCCACGCCTCGAGTGCCGTCAACGGAGGGTCTTCCCTTCCCCCCTTGCAGCGAGTCAAGAACGAGCGCGTGCTCGACCTCGCCTCTCGTCCCTTCTATTGGGCGCATCCTCCCCCCCCGGTCCCTCTCCCCTTGAGCTTTCTGCCGCTCATCTTCTCTGCAGGCCTCTCAGCTGGTCGTCGCTCCTTACGGCCTCAAGCCTTCGCTCGTCTATCAGCAGCTCTAGACCAGGAGGAGGCTTGTCGCTTTATTCCACTACGACCTGCTGCCTCCCCCTCTGCTGCTCTTCTAGATTACACTGCCATCATCTTGTCGACGCGCCTCCCTTCCCCTCCTTCCCCTCCTCGTCGCTCTCGAAGTACTTCCAGCTAGCTGCGTCTGGGTTCAGCGCCACCACCGGCCCATCCCCGAAGCCTCTTCTCGGCTTCAACGAGTTACTGATCCCCGGCCGAGGCTCCGACGCATCGCCGTATGCCGCAGCTTCGTCGCCTCCTTCACGAGGGCCCCACGAATATCCTCCAAGGATGTGCATGCACTCCTCTAGCTCGGGGAAGGAGCCCTGCAGCTCGTCGGGCTCGTAGTCTCCGTAGTGGGAGTAGCACCAGAAGTAAGCTTCGCGCTTCCCTCGCGCCTTCGCCGACCTCACAGCTGAAGAGCTCTTGTCCATGTCCTTGTCTGCGCCAAAGTACTTCTTCCACTTGTGAAACTTTCGCCGGAGCAATCGGAATCGACGCAGCTTCTCACGCACCTTGTCGGAGGCTCCATCCTCTCCAGCAGTACTTATTCGAATGATCGTTGACGGTGAGGCAGAGAAAGTCGAAGCAGCGCTCGCCAACATCGCCACATTGACCTGCTTCATGCTGTCATCCGCTGATGTGCCAGCATGGCCTCCCTGAGCTGCCCTTGGAGATGACTGAGAGACCTTGGAGGAGGAAGGCAACAACGAAGCTCCCTCCTTCTGAAGCAGCTGCTGTCGCTCTTGCTGGTTCAACTTGTTGAGCGAACTTGCTAAACTCTGTTCTCTCCCTTGCCAGCGCTGCATCTTTGCTATGGAAGTTCGCAGCCGATTGTTGATGGCCCGCAGTGACTGCGACACTGAGCTCGCCTGGTCTGCCGTCGTTACCAGTCGCTTGCCCGCATACAGCCCTTGAGTCATCGGGCTGAGCCCATTCGTCTGCGACGTTCCTGGCGCGTTTCCGTAGCTTCGCTTGACCTCAGCGCTGAAGGGCGCGGCTTGACCCGAGTGAAAGTCGGAGGTGTAGTAATTGTCCTTGTGCCCAGGCACAGGAACGATCGAGTTAGAGTGAGCCTGGTTCTCTGTCGCGCTCCTCTCGCCCTGCGGACTTTGATAGTAGGCGGCAAGCGATCCCTTGTACTCGTTAGGTAGATAGTAAGCTAAGGCTGCGTCCGGAGCCACCCCGGCCCACAACCCCTTGGTCAGTTTTGCGTATTCTTGTCGTCTCTTGAGACCCTTCAGGTCCTCCTTCCACAGGTTGTCCCAAGTCTTCACATTGAAGCCGAGTTTCGGTCGCAGCTTGTCTGCGCTCACGCCGTGCGAGCTAAGAGAAACGTCTTGGCAATTGCCTCCTGCCTGCCCAGGAGCGTAACCAGCTCTATACCTGCCCCACAAACCTTCTGTCGGGCACTGAGGTAAGTCTGGAAAGCCCGCATGCTTCTCGAGCACTCCTCGCTGAACGTCTCTCTTGTAGTCGTTGTCGTCTACCGTCAGGTAACTCATCCCTTCCCCTCCCACCTGCAGTCGCGACAGACGTTCTCCCTCGCTGCTCCACGTGACCACTAAGATCCCGAGCATGAGAAGCGCGACCGACGACATGCCTATCGCTGAGCCTATCAGACTCGCTCGCCGCATCATCCCTCCTACGACGCCTGCAACGATGCTGTCAACACTACGCCACCATGCACAAGAGTTTGTCTTTCTCCCTTTCAAAAGGCATGGGAGGCCCTGTCACCACTTCTTACAGGTTCTGCCAATCATCATATATCTCAACTCATCCCTTTTCTCTCACTCCCTCCATTCCACCATTTGTTGACCTCCTTCGTTCCTTCTCCTCATCCTCCCTCCCTCCCTCGCTCCCTCCCCCCTCCCTCGCTCCCTCTCACACTCCCTCGCTACCTATCACACTCCCCTCGCTCCCCTCCCTCGCTCCCTCGCTCCCTCCCCCCCTCCCTCGCTCCCTCTCTCACTCCCTCGCTCCCTCGCTCCCTCGCTCCCTCGCTCCCTCCCTCCGCTCCATGGCTGTTTCTTCTTTCATGCACCACTCTGAAGAGTCAACCATGCCCGCAATCGCACGACCGTTACAATCGGTTATGGGTTGTTTATCCAGCCCGCCTCGGTACCCCGAGAATCACTGACGACTCTGCTGACGGACACGCCTACTCTCGTCGCTTGAAGCCTTCAAGCCTTGTCATGCCATCAGCCAACGTTGAACGTGACTCCGAGACTGAGAGCATCTCCTCCCTCCACTTAGAGCATCTCCTCCCTCCACTTAGAGCATCTCCTCCCTCCACTTAGAGCATCTCCTCCCTCCACTTAGAGCATCTCCTCCCTCCACTTAGAGCATCTCCTCCCTCCACTTAGAGCATCTCCTCCCTCCGAGACTTAGAGCATCTCCTCCCTCCGAGACTTAGAGCATCTCCTCCCTCCGAGACTTAGAGCATCTCCTCCCTCCGAGACTTAGAGCATCTCCTCCCTCTACTCCGAGCTTAGAGCATCTCCTCCCTCCACTTAGAGCATCTCCTCCCTCCGAGACTTAGAGCGTCTCCTCCCTCTACTCCGAGACTTAGAGCGTCTCCTCCCTCCGAGACTTAGAGCATCTCCTCCCTCTACTCCGAGCTTAGAGCATCTCCTCCCTCTACTCCGAGCTTAGAGCGTCTCCTCCCTCCACTTAGAGCATCTCCTCCCTCCGAGACTTAGAGCATCTCCTCCCTCTACTCCGAGACTTAGAGCGTCTCCTCCCTCTACTCCGAGCTTAGAGCGTCTCCTTCCTCTACTCCGAGCTTAGAGCGTCTCCTCCCTCTACCCCCTCCTCCTCCATATCTCCCGCGCCCATGCTCCTTGACGCCCAGCCGCTGACTCGGGCATCCATCAAACATTGACTGGCATGTTCAGTTATCCTCTGCCACCATCGCAGGGTAATTGATCGACTCACGAGTTGAGGCACTCGATCAGATAGCGAGGACTGGAAGTTACACAGACACGGACCGGGAGCCAGCGAGACAGATCGCACACTTCTTTCCAGTCCTGCAAGTTTATCACCAAGGCTATGAAAATACTGTTTCGGGTCCATGTATCAACATTCAACTATCTTCAGCATTGTTTATGAAAGAAAGTTAGCAAATACAGAGAATAGCAAAGAAGCACTGAGAGAAATACAAAGCAGCACTGAACTGGGGCTGTGAAACCGAGCTTAAGGAGGGCTCACTATCTTCAAGTACTTGTCGCTCGGGTCTCTGAACACATGCTTCGGTAAACCAAGCTTGTCATAATTTACAGCATTTCTCCTCGTCGTCAAATTAATCTTATGCATCGGCTGGGATTCTGATTTTGTCTTCTGTTCACTGTACGTCATCCTAGGCTGATGAAGAGCAGGATGAGCTACACGCTTTCTGTACAGGCGCGAGTGTGATCCCCAAAGGTTCTCGTGCTCTTCGATCTGATTAGCAACTTTTTCCAACGCGCTCATCTTCGCAAATGTCGCCCGCATGTCCGGTTCCTGCGGCCTGCCGCCATTTTGATGCCCGATCGATCTATAGGCGAAACGGTTCGCAGCATTTCTTGAGAACCGAGGGTCGGGAGCGAGAGAGGGTTGGAAGATGTTGTATTGCAGCATGGAGGTCGGACGTGCCGACCAGTAGCTCAGGCCTATGGCCGCGCATCCCGCCATCACCAGCGCCGCCGCCACCGCCGCTTGCATGTTCCTCAGCGAAGGGTCAGACTAGATCCCACATTGGTGGAGGGGGTGGTTTCTGGATCAAGAGGGGGTGGGGGTAGGTCTACCTGGGGTTGGAGGAGGCGGTAGGGGTGGTGATGGGAGACGGAAGGGGTAGACGGGAAGCGATTGGGTCGGATTGAGTAGTCGCAAAATGTTGCGCGGAATGCGAGACGCGGCGAGGAGGATGAGGGAGATGCGAGGCTTGAGAGGAGGCGGACCAGTGAAGAGAAGCAGAAGCGACCCCCATGCCTCCAGCAGACGACCAGCTGAGAAGTTGCAGGCAAGACGTGACGCTCTTAGCCTGCTGTCAGGTAACAATCAGTTGATGCCATGGCGAGCAAAACAAGAAAGCTTGAGCTTGAGAGAGAAGAAACAGGACAGCCTGAGCATGAAAGACAAGCAAAAATACAGCCTGATACCCTTCCACCATGCAAGCTCTGCTCTTAGCATGATCCGAGGCGGGACTGATGCTCTTTGCGTCATGAAACGGCAAGAAGCCCTGAGTATCCTTCGGAGACGCAGGGACGCTGTGAGTACAATAGCGCGACGGAAGGATGCTCTGAGCCTCATCAGAAGAAGGCAGAATGAGCTCAAGCTCGTGGACTCTAAACAGAATGCCCTTTGTCCCATCAAGTGGCGGAAAGACGCCCTCGTTGCTATTGAAGGCAGGAGGAAGTTTTCTATTCTTGCAACACCTTTTGCACTGAATTCGAGAGTTTGGTTTGACATGGAAGCTGCTCGCCAACAATCTCAGCCTTCATCCAAAACCATGTTCATAACAAATGAGCTTCGCAGGAAGGTAACACGTGCTGCTGTTTGGGATATGTTGTAGTAACCGTATCACTAGTTCACATCAGAATCGAAGTCCCCGAAGAAGATCAAGGCTGTCATCTTTGACCTTGGCGGAGTCTTGTTGCAATCTCCTTTCCATGAGATTGAAGCTTTTGAAAGGGATGCTGGGGTACCCGTCGGGAGCATCTTTGGTAACGCCGCTAAGCTAGGAGAGTCGGGAGCATATTTCCGCCTCGAGCGCGGGGAAGTCACCTTGGAGCAATTCTTGCCTTTGTTCCAGCAAGAACTTGAGTCAGGCGGTATTCATTTGCAGCGTGACGTGAGCGAGTTGTTCGTTCGCATAGAAAGAGCTCTTTTTCCTGTTCGACAAGATATGATTCAGGTGATCAGATCCTTGAAAGCAGAGGGAATCAAAACGGCTGCTTTGACAAACAATTGGAAGAGAGATAACGGAGATACTTTTACTCACGCTCTTGGAGATCTTCAGAACCTCTTCGACGTAATTGTAGAGTCAGCTCTTGTTGGAATCCGTAAACCTGATGCAATGATCTTTCAACTTGCACTTGAGAGGCTGAAGCTGAAGGACAGCGGAGAAGTCGTCTTCTTGGATGATATGGGGCCAAATTTGAAGGGAGCATCTACTGTTGGAATGAAAACGATCAAGGTCGAAGTCGAGTACATGCAAGCTATCCGAGAGCTCGAGATTTTGGTTGGTTTTCCTCTATTGGAGTATGTTGCTGGAACAATCAACGTCAGGCCGCATTTGCAGATACACAAAGACAGCCTGTCAAACTACATCTCTCAGACCGGGCCTTCTGTTTTAAGAATGTCAGGACCAGTCTCCCGGATTCGGCAGTTTGGCCATGGACAATCGAATCCGACATACCACGTGACGCTTTCGGACGGAAAGGAGTTAGTGTTAAGGAAGAAACCGCCAGGCAAAATTCTGAAGGTGATGTAGGGTCATTCCATGCCTGACTTGTTGAAATCTGAAATTTCTTCTTCACAGGGAGCTCATGCTGTGGAGAGAGAGTACCAAGTTCTGTCTGCTCTGAAGAAACTCAACTTTCCGGTTCCAACTTGTCATCTCTTGTGTGAAGAGGATCATGTTTTGGGAACACCTTTCTACGTAATGGACTACATTCAGGGTATTTCTCTCGATTTCAGTCTTCGTGCAACTGATTGTTTTTGCAGGAGAAGTACATAAGAATCCGTCGCTTAAGATGCTCTCTCCTAGCCTTAGAAGTTCAATCTACGAATCCATGTGTCAGGTTTTGGCTGACCTGCACAGGTAGAAAAACTGCTTGAGCGGTGTCATGAGTAGTGTCACGTGATATGATTAGAAGTCTGATTTGATCCGTTGTAGTGTCGATATAGAGAAAGCTGGCTTGCAGGCATATGGAAAGGTTTGAATTGCCTGAGGCGAACAGTCCTTGACCCAGCTTTTAGCAAGAAAACTTTTTTCAAAGACAGATAGGAACGTGGACAAAACAAGTGAGCTTAAACAGACCTGTTGATAATGCCTCATGAATATTGATGCAGTTTGAAGCATCGAAGACTGAAGGGGGCGACTATTCTAAAATGGAAGAATTGATCCAATGGCTGAATGCGAATATTCCGCCTGAAAACAAGGTCCAAGGCATAGCTAGAGGCTGCGGCGCACTAACGTCCTTCGATTTGTAGGCTACCATCGTGCACGGAGATTTCCGTCTGGATAACTTGATCTTTGAAGAGAAGTCAAGCAAATGGTTGAGTTCGTGATTTACGGCAATCACATTCTGAACATTAGTGCAGTCTCGCGGTGCTTGATTGGGAGTTATCAACGTTGGGAGATCCTCTAGGTTCACTTTCTGATGTCCACGAGTGTAAGAGTCTAGACTGAACATGGCTCAGCTGATCTCGCCTACAACTGCCTCGTCTACCATCTCCCTCCAACTTTCCCGTGAGATTGCCATGCATTCACTTGTGTGCGTCTGACAGCAATCGCTACAGTCAAGTACCAGGCTTTGCTGGAGCTCAGCTGCCAGAAGGAATTCCAACAGAAGAGGTGGCTAGCTTATCGACGCTGCTCGTGTGCTAAGAAGGTGACTACAGGAGTACGTCAAGTCCTACATGCGGCGGACGGGGCGTCAGAGCATCCCCGCGTGGAACTTCTACCTCACCTTCTCCTTCTTCCGCATCGCCGCCATTCTTCAGGTGGGCCCCAGGCAACAGGGGAGGGGGATTCTTGAGGGTGATTCTGCTGATGATTCGTCTTCAGGGTGTGTACAAGCGCTCGCTGCAGGGGAACGCGAGCTCAGACCGAGCTAGGGACGTTGGGGCTCTGGCGGACCAGATGACGAAGATGGCTCTAAAACTGTCCAAGAAGGCTCGCGCGATCGAACTTTAGCCGCTGAAACTTGAACCCAACAAGTTTACTCGCTCAACCCAACAAGTTTACTCGTGTGCATGGCAGTCAATGCTTGTCCCACGCTCAGGATTTTTGACCAGCATGTCATGCGCCACTACAAGAGATCAAAAGAATCATCTCGCACGAGCGTTGAGAAATATCAGAACAAGTGACACAATAATGGCGCAGCCGATCCAGATAGGCAAGATCGACCTGCAATATCAGGCAAGGCAATCAACCTGCGAAGCTATCGCCGGGTGGGATGGAAACACTAGCAAGGCAAGTCATGAGGTAGGGGATAGCGGAAATGCGATCTTACGGTTTAGTTGTAACTCGTCTGCTGACCATTCGACCTTCTTTAATCTCGCCCAAACCGACGTTGTTTGTTGTCGCAATAGTGTACTTCTCCCCTGTCGCTCTATACATTCTTCTTCTTGCTGATCTGGGTTGTTGGTTTGATCTTCCGATTCTTCTAAGAGGATAGATCCCGGCGCCTCCTCCTCCCTCACTTTCTCCTCCCCCTCCCCCTTCTGCATCTTCTCGATACCTCCGGCGGTCATCCTCAGCATCTTCACTGCATTGACTTGGCCCTCTACCCCCTACCCCTTACCCCTACCCCCTACCCCTACCCCCCCTTGCAATGACAATAATAACCATATATAGCCAAAGTGTTCAAGTACCCCCTTGTTTCCATGGAGAGAAGCTAGAAAGAAGGGGTGGTCGAATAGTCCTTCCGTCCCTAGTTGCAGCTTTCCTCCTCTTCCCCCTCCTCTTCCCCCTCCTCTTCCCCCTCCTCCTTCCCCCTCCTCCTTCCCCCTCCTCCTTCCCCCTCCTCCTTTGTCTTTCTTCCTACGCCATTTCCCCGTCAAATTTCTCCTTTCTTCCCATCGCTTTCGATTTTGTGCTTTTCTTGGCTCTGCCTGTCTTGTCCCTTGCGTCTTGCTTTCAATACCTTTGTTGCCTTTCCTTCTCCGACTGTCTCACTCACAACCAGGAGCAGACAGTTCCTCGAATTCGGCATGGCGCAGGCCCGCATCCTTCTCTTGTTTCTGTTCGCTTGCACTTCATGCGTAGAGCGCTGCAGCAGCTTTGCAACTGGGAGGTTGCTGCCATGGGGTGAAGCTACCAGTCGGTTGTCATCTTCCGCGAGGAACCTGCCAAGAATGGAGGTGAAGGCGAAGCTGAGCCCGAGGATGTCTCCAGCTAGCATCCCTCAGCTCAACGATCCCTTCGGTCCGTCGCGAGCTCTGAGAGATCTCGTGAAGATGACGAGACCTCAAAACATCCCAGCTGAGCTCGGGCTGAGTCTCGCAGGCAGCCTCTTCGCCTCCCGGTCTCTCGCGTGCCTCGCTGACCCGCTGGTCTGGCTCGTCGCTCTCTTCAGCGCGTCCGTGGGCGTCGGCTCCATGCTCATCAACGACTACTTCGACTATCGCTCAGGTGCGGACGCCTACAAGAGCAACCCGATGGCAGAGGGGACCGTACATCCAGAGCAAGCTCTTCTCGCAGCATCCTCATGGTATCTCATGAGCTTCTTCTTCGCCTGCATCCTCCTCGAGTCATTCCAGCTCAGAGCGCTGGTGAGCGTCTCGCTGCTCCTCACCTTCCTCTACACGCCGTTGTTGAAGGGGGTGCTCTTCCTCAAGAACTTGGTCGTCGCTTTTGTCATCGCCCAGGCGATCGTTCTGGGTGGTCTTGCTGTTGGAGACGTGAGGATGCAGAGCACCTTGCTCCCCTCCCTCTACATGTTCTGCCTCATCCTATGGCAGGAAGTCCTCATGGACATCCGCGACGTGCGGGGAGACGCGGAGGCTGGCATCAGAACGATCCCCGTCGTCCTCGGCTGCAAGTTTGCGGCTCTCCTTGCGCTCCTCTCTGCTGGGCTGGCTGCATTGCTTCCGCTCTTGGCGTCCGGTTCGACGGTGGCACGTCTTGCTCTGCCTCTGGTGCAGCTTCCTCTGCTGCATTCGACCTGGCGGCTGGTGGTGGCGGAGAAGGTGAAGGCGGAGGAGATCGCGCGAGCCCTCGGCCTGTGCGAGCGCACGGGCGCCCTCGCCATCCTCCTCCTCGCTGCTCCTTGATGATGCCGCGAGCCTGCATACCCCATGCGAAGAAACCTGCTTTTAGGGATAGACCCAGGGGGAGGGGGTTAAAATAAACTAAAATGTAGGGGTAGTCCATAAGGCGCATTTCGTAATGCGACCTTTGTCCTTGCCGCTTGTTGTGCTACTGATCCATTGCTGCGCCTCCTCCTCCTCCTCGCTCTCTCCTCCTCTTCCTCCTCCTTCCACTTCTGGATCCTCCTCCTCCTCCTCCTCCTCAACATTATTTCTCCAATCCTGCTTCTCCCTGCTTCCGATTTCTCGTATCTCATCGCGATGTGGCTTTGGCAGACCTCCCTCCTTTCAGCCCCGTCACTTCAGTCGCACGCTTTCATCGAGCATGGCGGGTTGTGAAGCAGCTGACGACTCGCAAACTCCAAGTCACAGCCGCATCCTGTTGGCCCCAGCAGCTCCTCGCGTGCATGCGCTTGAAGCTAAAGGAGGAACACCCTGGAGGTTCAACAGCTCTTGGCACCTCTTGCATCGCCAGCAGCGATTGTCGTCCTGCTGCGAGGTCTGGACCAAGGAGGAGAACACGCGGGTCTTCAAGTCCTTCCTCTCCCACAGCACCGCCGGGACCAGTCAGGTGGGGGTGAAGTTGAGGTGGAAGAGATCCCCTTTGCTGGATCTGGCGTCGGTTGCCAGGTCTGGGAGTCCTCGGTGGCTTGCGCGCTCCTCCTCGCCGCCATGCCTGCGGGCTGGCTATCGGAAGCTGGTTCTCTCCTCGAGCTTGGCTCGGGGGTGGGGTTAGGAGGAGGAGCAGCGGCTGAGCTGAGAGACCACCTCGGGTTGGATCAGATACTGCTGTCGGACTGTCAGAGCAGCCTCGTTGAGCTGTTGAGGAGGCGGCGAGGTGAATCGGAGGGAGTGGTAGAGTTGGACTGGAACAAGGAGGAGGAGGTCAAGGCTGCGAGCAGCATGGCAGAGGGAGTGATGGCCTGCGATTGCGTTTATTACCATCCTGACATGCTCGCCTTGCTTCGAGCTGCTGCTCCCGGTGGCCTCCTCCAGCCCAAGCTGGGACTCTTTCTTGCCCCTCAGCATCGCTCGTGCTTCCAAGAGTTCCGGCGACACCTGCGGAAGAAGGCGGAGGAGGAGGGGCAGCACTGGTGCTCCTTCGAGGTGAAGCTGGAGGGGAGGCACGACTTCCTTCCTCGCCCCAGCGAGACCATCCTGGGCAGCTTGTCGGGCAGCCTCGACCGTGAGAACAGAACGTCGATGACGCGCGTGTCCGGCTTCATGTTCTCCTCCTCCTTCAAGGTCATCCACGAGCTCAAGACAAGGCTGACGGAGGGAGATGCTCGCAATGTCTGAGCCTCATCTGCTCAACAAGTCGAAGGCGCTTGAGGTCGACAGCGGAGGAAGCGACTCGTGCGAGGGCGATGAGACCTGCGAGGGGTGAGCAGTCCTTCTCTTCCTCCCCGTCTTACTGTCGCAGACTCGACGTGCTTCAAGAGCTCGTCCAGTCGCTCCTTCCAATCAACGAACGACGTCGCAGCTGACGGTACATGAGACAAGTGGAGAAGCCGAGGAGAGGCAGAGGAGGCGTTACCTGCTCCTGCTCTTGTCAGCGCTTCCTCTGCCCTGGTCTTGCTGCTTGCTTCCCCCTCATGCTCGCGTAGAGGAGGATTGAAGTCCCGCGATGCTGGCGGAGAGAGCTCGACGGTTAAAGGAGGAGGGAGAGAAAGGCTGGCGCGAGCTCGAGGCTCTTCCTGTTGGAGGGTGTTGGGGTTGGTAAAGGCTGAGGAAGAGGAGGAGAGGCTTGTTCGAGGGTGCGAGGTGGGAGGAGGCGGGACGGGTGGAGGAAAGGAGAGGTAAGGAGGCTCGACATTGGCGAGGAAGGAAGCATGAGCTGTGTGCAGGCTCTTCAAGATGCTCGCGGGAGCGTCAGGGTGATGGGGGTCGAGAGAGATCTGCGAACACTCAAAGAAGAAAATCGAAGAGAGAGTGGATGGAGAAGGTAGCGAGAGAGGGGAGGGACCTCTGCTGAAGAGGTTGCAACTTTACCTCGCAGTCTTGACAGGCAGCAGAGAGTCTCGTCAGCATTGTCTTTACCTGCCGCTCCAGTCTCGTAAAGTTGTCCTCCATCCTCCGCGCTCCCTCCTGTGCAATCGCCCTGTACGGGGTCAGCGAGTGAGGAGAGACGGAGCCCTTCCCCTCCTCGAGCTACTTTACCTTCCCTTCCCCTCCTCGAGCTACTTTACCTTCCCTTCCTCTCCTCGAGCTACTTTACCTTCCCTTCCCCTCCTCGAGCTAGTTTACCTTTCGTGTCGTTGCAGCTGGAGCTCTCGGGTCAGGGTTCGCAGCTCAGCCTCCTTCTCTTCCACCAGGGTCTGCCGCGGCCTCTCACTTCCTCCTCCTCCCCGCCTCTCGCCTGCCTCAAGCGTGCGAACTCGCGAGCCGAAGGCAATCTCGCCGGCGGTGACGGCAGCAGAGGAGCGTTGCTGGAAGAGAAGCTCGCGAGCATGCTGGGGAAGGCAGTGAGAAGAGAGAGCGAGGCAAGCAGACGAGGATGAGGAAAGAAGAGTGGGAGGGTGAAGGCGAACAGTTGGCACCCGCTCATTTCTTGTTAGATTCGCTTCCGTCACTCCGAGATCTCTGCGCAGGTCGAGCACCATCTGACCCTGATTGAGAAAGGAAGGGGAAGAACAAGCGAGGAGAAGTACAAGACAGAGAGGAGGAGGAGAAGTACAAGACAGAGAGGAGGAGGAGAAGTACAAGACGGGAAGGAGGAGAAGGAGCACAAGACAAGAGGAGGATTAGGCTCAACCTCCTCTGCGGACTTAGTTTGCTGCTTGTATTTCTCCAGCTCCTCCAGGAGCGCCTGAAGGGACTGAGTCTCCTCCTCCCTCCCCCTCCCCCTCACCTCGCGCTCTTCCACCATATCATGGCACATGTCCAGCAAGTTGAAGAATTCTGCTGACCCTCGCGCCAGTCGCACCTGAAACAACTTCACCGACACTCACGTTGCCTCCTTCCTCCCTCCTCTCGTCGCTACCGTGAAGTAGTGCCACAAGTCCTCGTCCTCCTCCAAGTCGCTGCTGTTCTCCGAGTCCGAGTCCTCCCACTCCTCAGCTTTCTGCGTGTCTTCATTCGTCTCTTCCTCTCTCCTGGAGCTTTCTGCTCCCCTCCCTCACTCCTCTCTTGCTCACGCTTCCCTCACGCTTCCAGCTCCTGCTCTTCCCCACGCTCCTGCTCCTTCTTTTCAGCCTCTTTCGTGGTCTTCCTACTCCCTCTTATCCTCTTTTCTCATCCTCCTCCACTCCACACCCTGACGAGTCTACTACGACCACTGGCTACTCCAACTTTCTCCAAACCAGCTCAAATCCTTTCTTTCCTCCTCCTCCTCCTCCTCCTCCTCCTCCTCCTCACTTTCTTCTTCGACGCCTGGCTCAGGGATCTCCGCATGACCAGAGACACGCCGGAGCCAGGGGGGCCGAGCAGGAGCATGTTGACCTGAGGAAGCAGCAGAGGCGCCACGTCCACCCCCTCCACCCGCACCAGCTCGTCTCCGATGCTGTCATCCATGTCAAAACCCCAGCAAATCCCCAGCTACCCCAATCTCTCACCAGATCGATGGATTCTTCGCACGATCTGCTGCAGTTCCAGGGAGAATTTCTTGAACGCGAAAACGCTTGACAGGAGGAGGCTGAACTCGGACAACAGCTTCCTCCTCCTCCTCCTCCTCCTCCTCCTCCTCCTCCTCCTTGTTTCTTTTGTCCTTCCCCAGCTTGTCTTTCACACCAAGGTTGAGGTTGACAAAACCTGCTGAGGGTCAGCTGGAAATTGAGGGACGTTTGGCTCACGCGGAGGGGAGGAAGTTTCGAGGTGAGAGAGGATCAGCCCGACGCCGTTGACAGTGAAATGCGAAGCATCCGCCCGCACGTGAAACATCATTTCCTGTCTACATCTTCACTCCTCCTCCTCATCCTCCTCCTCCTCCCTCACCTTAAACTTTTTAGTCTCTTCTTCCCCCTCCTTTCTTTGTCTTTCACCATTCGAATCTTTCTCGTGTCTCTCCTTGAGCGAGCTGTTGAGACAAGATCAAAACTTCCTCGTCATTTCCTCTTTTCTCTTTACCGAACTGTTTTCAGCTCTTCGATACACTTGGCATTTACGCTTGAATCAGCCCAAGAAGCTTTCGAGGATATTTCGCGATCAAACTTCTTAGAAGCCTCTGCCCTGCAAGCAAGCCATAAGGTCTCCCTCCCTCCCTCCCTCCCTCCCTCCCTCCTTCGCTTCACCGCATGTTGAATTGTCGAGATGGCAACGTCTCTGCTTGCCGACGAAATGGATTTCTGACGACGCGACCAGCAGCATCGAGGCCAGGGAATGCTCGTTCCTCCTGAGGAAGCGAATGAAACAGGGAGAAGAGGGCATGGGCTCACCTCCTTCTCCTCTTCCCACTGAACTTTCTTGTCCGTTTCCTTGGGCATCCCAGGAGCTCCGTTGAAGGCCCCCCGTATCCCCCATAGGTCGAGAGGAACGGGTTTCCCGTCGATCCCCTCCTCCCCATGCTGCCGCTTCTTGTCAGCTCGAGCACATGCAAACCAGCAGGACCCCAGCTGTGAGCGTGCTGAGAGGGACGGGCACATGCTTGGGATGTCGACGCAGCAAATGACCGACTGGATGGCCTGCAGCAGCAGAGAGAAGAACTGAGCAGCAGCAGCAGCGGAGGAGGAGGAGGAGGAGGAGGAGGAGGAGGAGACCTTGACGGACAGGAATCTGAGAGGCGAGTGAGTGTCATGCCAATGCAGGAGAACAATCACCTTGGTGAGGACACGATCATAGGCATCTCGGAGAACAGGCGGCGGAATCACGATCTCCTCCTCTTCGCCACTGAGGGACGAGTAGGAGGAGGAGGAGGAGGAGGAGGAGCATCGTTAGAAGAGATGAGAGGCAGACAAGGCTTACAGTCTTCTGCTCTTAATCGTCTCCGCCAACCGTCTAGCTGCTGTGGAAGCTTTCTCAGCCTCCGACCTGTGGCCTTGGACGAGTCAAAACAGTTGAATTCGCTCCTATACCCCCATTTTCCCTCTCCTCCCTTCTAAGTCCTCTCTCCTCCCCTCCCCTCCCGACCCCTCTATTCTCA